GTTTGAAAGTAGTGACCGTATGTGAAAACGAGCAATATAAGGTTGTGTCAAGATGTAGCATCAATAGACCCACGAGGTAATGGTGAGCCTAAGTGAGCAAAAGACCCCGGAGGGTGTGGTGAGATGTTACGCTTGAAAAGTGAAAAATAATGTTGAAAAAATGAGATTTGTGAAAATATGTAGACATCGTACATGGCATGATCAGTTTTTATTTTTCATTGGCACTAATTAATTTTTGTTACTAATACTTTTAATCATCTGAAATTTTAAAGTTCATCCGTACTAATTTAATTAGGACCAAGTAGTGTTTTTTTTTTATATCAAGCACCTATATTTTTTCCTCAATTATAAATAATAGGCACTACTCACCAAAAGAAGTATCTCTAGTTTTTTTTAATTCTATTTTCTACATATTTGCAACCAAAATACATAGATCTAGCTAAACCCATAATTGTTTTCTAAATATTTAAATATATATATATATATATATATTAATTTAATTTATATATTAATTCAAATTCAGTTATATAAATATTTATATTTTATTATGCTATGGAAATTTTTTGAAATTATGAGAACAAATATAAATATTTAAGCAGGGATTATTTTTTAAGTTTTAAATAGATAGATATTAATTTAAATTCAAATATATAAATATATATACATTCAATATGAAGCTTAATTTTCAGAATATTTTTAGGATAGATTAAAATTTTTGAAACTCATCAAGATACATCAAAAATTTTAAACACAGTTTTCTTCTTAAATTTTTAAATAAATAGATATTGATTTGAATTTAAATAAATAGACATTGTCAAATTTTAATTACTCCTTTTTAAATGATCAAATTTGAATTTCAAATGAATAAAAATTAATTTTTTTACATATGAAAATGATAAATCATCATGAAACCTAACTCCAAACCTAAATATTCTATTTCACATACATATAAAAATAATAAACCATTCTTGCTCCTTGTGACACTTGGCTAATTACATGGGCATCCTTGCTTGATGCAGCCTTCTTAGTCCTTCAAGTATAGTTAATTTTGGGTGAGTCTCAATCCAAAGGTATTGTCATTCCACTATGACATGCTTTGTTAAGAGAAAATTAGTAGCTATATATTGGCTTTGTCGAGATTGAGAGGAAAATTATGCTTTGCAGTGGAAGAAGCCTATAAGCGTCTATCTATTAAGTATTACTGAACTGCAATATCTCAATGAGCTTATACATTAATTCAAAAAAATATAAATGATAACCATGAAAAAAAATAAAATTTGAGCAAACCAAGATTTGTTACTAGCCATTATAAAATCTAAAGATATTGTTAGATTATTTATTTATTTAGCAAATTCATCTCTAGGTTCCTTTCATGTATGCCAATTGGAGACAGTTACCAAAGCAAAGTTGTTGCATAATCAAAATTGAAATTTGGAGGCAAGGAAAAAGGTTGTGTCGAGCATCAGCTTTATAATCACCAAGTAGCATGTGGATGTTAGAGTTACTTGCTTGTGCATAGGTGCAGTATGCCAAACAATTTACTTGAAAATTGGAGAAGCTAAGAAAAATTTGCATCAATGAGAAATAACCAATGAACAAATAGATGATCTCATAAATTGCAAAAATTTGATTATCCTATAAAAAAGAGGAGCATGAATTATACATGACTTAGTTGAAGCTGGAAGCGTGGAATGAAATCATAGCCAAACACTATTATTTATAATTGGTATAATATTTACATTGGAGGAAAATTGGAATTTAAATTGCTAATATGATATAATCACCAGTTATTATAATAATTATTATGAGTAATTTTAAATTCAAAATTCAAAACAGAATCAAGCTTTGAAATTTAAGATAGTATATCTTTAAAATTTGAATTATATTTAGCATAAGTAATTATTTTGAGTAATTTTAAATTTTTAGTATTTAGTAATATTGTATCCCATGATTAAAAACTATATATTTAAATTTTGAATACACACACACACACTTTATTATATGATCAAATGAAATCACTCAAGATATATCAATAATTTTTTATTCGAATTTATTATATGATTGATCATATGAACCTTAATTTTTTCCAAATATTTAGGGTGTTTTGAAAATTTTGAAAGTCATGAGGACAGATAGGAATTTTTTTTTTGAATGACAGATAGGAAATTTTAAACAAATGTTCTTTTTTTTTTAATTTTTAAATAGATAAGTATTAATTTGAATTCAAAATAATCATATTTGAATTTCAAATAAATAAAATTTATTTTTTTAATACATCTAAAAAATAATAATTCATCTCAAACCTAACTCTAAACTTGAATATATATTTTATATATATTAAAAAATAATAAATCATCCTAAGCCTAATCTCAAACTTGATTTCAGAGCATAGAATTATAAAAAAAACGTCTCAAAGCATAGATTATGGCAAACCTAAAAATGGGCACATAGCATTTTCTCATAACCTTTAACCCTAATTTTATAGCTATAATGATGATAAAAAAAAAATTTGTTTGATTTTAAAATTTTTTATCATCAGGTATACTCAAATATTTGAAAATTTGAAATTGTTGTATACTCAAATGTCATCAAATATTTTAAAAACAAAAATTTATTTCATCTCATAAAAAAACCTTTTTATTCCCACAAAATTATTTTAAAATTTGTAGCAAGCGCATATTAAAATGATAAAGAACAATTTGTTATTTTTTTTAATTACTTAGAAGTACTTTCTATTGAAGTCAATCTTATTTGAGGTATGATCATACACTAAACATGGGCACCTCTCTAATGGGGATTTAAATTTTGATTCACCTCATTATAAAATACTAGCCCATTCTACTAGATCCAACTTCCATTGGTAGAACAATTTGTTATTTCAAAATGTATTAGCTTCACATAAACATGTTAAAATTTATTTCATATGCATATAAAAAATATAAGCAATAATTTTTTATTTAAAATTTTTTATCCATATACATATTAATTTAATTCAATTTATAATTTCTTTGTTAGTTTCACACATGTAAGTTTCTTATTTATTACTCATTTTTACTGTAGGTCCTACACTTATCTTTGTATTATAGGTCTCATGTTATACTTTTATTTTCCTTTACTATATAAAAATTTAAAAAATATCATGTAAAAATTTTATAAGTATAAAAAATTTAAATAATAAAATTTGGATGGTTACTGTTGATCTATAGTAACCATCCAACGGTAGTTATTTTAGTTTCAAATTGTGCAAACTTTAGTTAACCAAACGTTAATCCAAAAAATCGGTTTTAGGAAATGTGCATTTGCGAGGAAAAGCTAGATTGCAAAGAGCGATAACTTGAGCAAACCAAACAAGAATTTGATAAAAGTGCGTAAGTAAAAGTCCATTTGAACTTCCAAACTTGACATCCTAACATGCATTCAGGGCCGTTTGGATTTCTGCAAGAAAAAAATTAATTAGTATAATTAATTTTAATATATAATTGATTATGTTATGTAGTATATAATTTATTTTATATAATTAACTAATAAAATTGATCTTAATTGAAATTGAAAAGTTTAATTAAAAAGAAAAATTAGAAAATAGAATTGAAAATCACGTAAAATTATAATTTAGTAAAAATATATCCAAATACATATGTTGCATGTTAAAATCAATTATAAATTTAAAATCATGTTTTCCTTAAAATATCCAAAAGCTCATTGGGTGTGTTTGGATTTTAGTTAGGTATAATTGATTATTAAAAAAATTAATTAATATAATTGATTTTGAATATAATGGATTATATTATGTAATATATAATTGGTTTATAAAATTAATTAATGAGATTGATTTTAATCAGAATTAAAAAGTAAAGTTGAAAATAAGATAAAATTATAGTTTTGTGAAAATATATCTAAACACTCATATTATATGTTAAAATTAATTATAAATCTAAAACCATATTTTTCAAAAACATATCCAAACACTACTATACATGTCAAAATTAATTATAAATTCAAAACTACAGTTATCTCATAAGCTATTATTACCTACTTTTTAATTTAATTTTTCAATTATATGTTTCTAAAAATTTATCCAAAAATCATATAAATTATTTTATAAATAATTTTTTTTAGTTCATAATTGATTTTAATGGAATAAGAGATGCTTGAATATTTTTAAGAAAACCATGATTTTCAGCTCATAATTAATTTTACTATATATAATGGGTGTTTGAATATTTTTTTTTAAAATAGTTTTTATTCATAAGTGATTTTAGCATGTAATATAAATATTTGGATATATTTTTACAAAATTATAGTTTTGACTTCTAAAAATAGATGTTATCCAAATAGGCACATTATACATGACAAAATCAACTGTGAACCTAAAACTATAATTTTTTTAAAAATATTCACGCTCTATATGACAAAATCAATTATGAATCCAAAATTATATTTATCTCATAAATTACTATTACCTACTTTTCAATTAAACGTTTGGATAAATTTATCTAAAAATCATAAACTACTTTAGAAATCATGTTTCTTGATTCATAATTGATTTTTTTTTTTTTGCTTGTATAGAGATATTTGAATGTTTTTAAGAAAACTATGATTCAAATTTATAATTGCTTTTGTCATGGATAATGAATATTTGAATATTTAAAAAACCATGATTTTAAGTTTATACTTAATTTTGATATGTAAAAAAAATCTTTGAATATGTTTTTATAAAACGACGGTTTGAACCTTTAGATTTGATTAATCTAGTTATCCAAACATGCACTTCATTTCTGATAGAAAAAAGTATACGGGATTAATTGAAGCCGGTCTCGCCAATTTTATGGCGTAAGGAGTCAATGAACTTCTGCATCTGCATACGCATTCTTATAAACATAAACATGACATGAAAATACAAACCTTGCCCTATAAGGAGACCATGAATTACTCGACCATAATTAATGGGCCGATGAGGCCTGTAGTGCTACAAACATTCTTATCGCTTTGAGGCCAAAAAATGATTATTCCATGTGCCAAAAAAAATGATTATTCATTTCATTGGATATCAGTAGATACATACAAATTTGCACCTACTATACATTGACAGAGCTGAACGACGCATAGGGATTAGGCTGTGGTCTTCAGGCCAACCAACCCCTCTTGTATAAAAGAAAAAAGAATAAACAAAAACAATGCACGACATAAACGAATTCAGTTCAGGAAGATGAACCTGCAGTTCAGAGATATCATAAAGATGAGGAAAAATATCCTATTCAGCTCTCTGGAAAATCTCATTGTTATAACGCTCTGCCATTGATCCAAAGCCGATGATGATAGCGAGTAGAACATGTCACCAAGACAAAATTGTTGGCTGCAATCACAATTCACAACATTCCAACATGAAGGCTTTTCATGTTCTGCACATTATCCATCTATGGCCACGGTATCTTCAACAGGATTGTTGAAGAACTAGATTTAACTCTAGGGCAGACCTGGCCAGTAAATCACCCCTCCTGCAGCAAAAGTGGGAAGAACATAGGAATTAAGCAAAATAAGCTGACTCTTGGTAGCTAAAACAGAGAGATTGATGCTTTACGGAAGATAAAATTGGAAATATGAATAACCAACCAACAAGGACATTGTACAAGTGATAATTGTTATAATAATCTTTTTGCGATATGAATCAAAAGTTACCTCCACATTGTTTTCCAAACCAAATGATGGTACATTTTAAGTTATATGACACGTTCAAAACATTGAAATGGAAACAGGCAAGGATTTCTAACATTTCTATATTAAAACCATCAGCTTGCCGCATTGGTTTCTATACAAGTATAGACAGGACAAAGTCTGTATGATTACCGCATTAGTATTGGAAGAATCTTTTGAATCTTTTGCAGCTGCAAAAAGCATTGATGGCAGCATTCCCGCCTGTCCTCAAGATTTGACATATCATGTCAGTTTTATTGACAAATAACATGGAACGCTGAAAGGCATATGACAACAACACATGCTACCTTTCCTCCGCATGCAAGTCAACCCCAACAAAGGGAGTCGCCGAAATGGCTGCATGAATTGTTGGACCAAAGACTGCCACCAGCTTTAATAAAATATCCAATGACACCTTTATATGTCTGCAAAATCAGAACATAGTAAATGTCAACCAAAACCATGTCAATTTTATTGGAAAGGCAGGAAAAACATGCATGAGATTCCAAGATCTGGTTGCCAGTGTTTAAGGCTCAAAAACAGAAAGCCACGCTAATGGATTCAAATTAGGCTACATTTAGTAGGAGGTAACGGGAAGAAGGGAATTGGAATGGGCGAGGGAATGAGCTAAATTGCAAGTTTGGTACAAGGGATTTGGCATTGCAAGTATTGCACCTTTACCACATTCAGGGGATTCAGCTAATCCACCAACCCTAATGGGAATGGACTTGTTGGCATGGGAATGAATCTTTTTGGACCAAAGTATACCTGCTTTATATTTTTCTGGACAAGATTACCCCTCACTATTTTGCCCTAATACTAGTCATCCTTAGCTCTGTGCCATCCAATGTTTGCCGTCATCCATCACACCCTTTCTGACCAACTCCATCCTTGTCCGTTGTACCCAGACCCTTTAAAGATCCCCACCTTCCTTCATCATATACTGTCATTGTCGTTCCTTAATTGGTGGTAGAGCTTAGATCTAAGCGATTCTCACAGATCTGAGCAAGCCAGATGCATTCGATAGCAACAGAGGACAAGGATTGTGACTATAGCTTTCATCAATAATTTCATCAACATAAGAAATCCTACTATAATCAGAAGCAAACAGTGATGTTGGGACCATGTTGACCTAAAACAAATTGAACCCAAGTGGGAGTTGGTTCGGCATAGGGAGAATGTAGATTGGGCTTGTGGACCAGGGGGAGAGAAAGGAAAGGAAGATGAAAGGGAGAGAGGAAATAAGAAGAGGGTCAGTAACAGGAAAAGAGAAAGGTTTAGGTTGGTTTTTTTCCTGAAAGGGTAGAGGGGTATTATGGTATTTTGATGTTATAATTACATGTATCAAAACAAAATATTAGTATTTGGTATTCTAGCAACATACCAAACATGTTTTTAAAACTCAATCTATTTCCATTCCCAATTCCATTCATATTCCCATTTCCAATCCTTTAAAACTCATTGTGTACCAAATGTAGCCTTAGAAGTTCTACATGTTTTGACTTCCATCACAAGTTCTATGGCAACTACATCTATAACAAATCACCTTTCTGTCTTGCTATCCAGCAAGCCACTGAGCACAGGAAGCAAGAAAGAAAACGAATCTAAGGTGAGAATCTCCAACTTCTCCACAAGAACACTGACCACATCTGCTTGCACCTGTATCCACATGAAAGATATTTTCATAAGGGCTACCAATATTTACATAGAAAGGGGGGGGGAACCAGCACGCATGAACATTAAACACAATCTGCTTCAAGCGATACCCACAGATTGATCTGGCAGCTTTCTCAGAGCATTTATTGCACCTTTGAAGTCCCTCCGTTCCCAAAAATGGCGCACCACCTGCAAATGCACACTAGAAGATGTCAATGACAAGTTCAAAATCAGTTTTCAGTTTTTATCCATTCAAAATCTAAACCAGGAATGAAGTCTCCCAAGCACACACAAACAAACCAACTTTGCACATCAGCATGTTGTCAATCACTGTTATAACTTGCAGTACCAAGATTAATACAGGTTGGCAACACCCACCAAAATAATTTTGTGGTCTAAAAGGGGAAAAAAAAAATATTCAAATCAATTACTTGCTATAATTTACCTGTAATTTTGTCAAGCGTGAGCGAAGACTGCTTAAAGTTACATCATGAGTCTGCATCAGGCCCTCAATAATTTCCCCTTCATTCGCAGAGCTTACATCCCTCCCAGAAACTTGAGGCTCACCTTTCTGAAAATGATAGCAGGATAAAGTTGACTAAGTTCAACTAACCCACATGAATATACTAAAAAATGGAGTGTCACCAATTTGTTTAGAGAACCACATTCTACCATGGCACAAGAGAATTCACTGTTCACTAGTTTATGCTGTATAGTAAGATGCCAGTAACTAAAATTATGTGAAGCTTCCACATTGCAGAGCAAGTTTACCAGAATGGTGGGGGCTTTAATAGTTTCAGACATCATGGCAGGTATGGGGGGAGTATCACTTCGATCTTCATTGCCTCTTTCTTGCCTTTCCAACACTCTGGTAAGCGATGCATTAGTTTGATCTTCATTGACATTTCCCATTTTTTCACATATAATGGCAGGGTTTGCATTAGTTTGATCTTCACTAGTGTGAACCTTTTCCCTTCTTTCAAACCTCTCAACCAGAGAACGGGTCCTTCCTCGTACAACAGCAACTGCCAGAAGCAAAATCTAAATCAGATTTCACAGCTCATTATACACTACAAAACTACATACATTGGGGATGACCAACCTCCATTGACATATTTAACGGGACTACTCTCATTGCAAGGGGAGGATTCCGCACCTGAAATATATTGAGAAAATCACTAGTAAGAGCACAAATCGAATGACAAATAATAAACAAAGGATGCATGGCATCTTTGAATGTATTATAAATGCCTACTCAGCTCACTAAATCAATGAGAAGTTGAAAAAGGAAAAACACAAAGAACTTGAGCTTGTTCCTGTAAGGCAACATAGCCGCAGAAACTATATAATATGATAGGATCACAGTGGCAACCAATTAACAAATCAATGAGAAGTTAAATAATTTAGGTAAATGACATCAGTTGACTTTTGTTCAAAAAAAAAATGACATCAGTTGACAATTTAAAATCAAGGAAAAAATTTGGGAGGGGGGGGAGAGTTAGTGGGTGAGAGAGAATGTAAATCAATCAAGGGCAGTTATTGTGAACATAATAAGATACAATATGGAAGTCTAGAGAAAAATAATAATGACTTGCATTTGACCTGTACTGTGGTTTAACACTCACTAAGAACAGGAACTTACATCTTTCTTGGCCATTGAGTTTGTTTGGAGGTGAAGTCTTTTCATAGTTTTCTGTAATACTCTTAATAGGATATTTATCTTCACAAGATTCTCTGACTTCATTCTGGGACTCTAGCTTCATTTGGAAGTCAGGATCCTTTGCATCTTCCAATTTACTTCTTGTATAACCAAAAGCTCCAGAATCCACGTCTGCTGAAAATCTATCAACATCAAATCTGCCAGTGGATGCTCTTCTTACATGAGCTGGCTTGAGTAACATTCCGGGTTTTGTTCTTGAAAAGGTGATAGTTTCTCTTCCAGGTTTTGCTGAATCTTTACCATCAGGAGTGTCCTGAGGCACAACATTCGGCACAATAAAAGACTTTCTAAGAGATTGTCCATTTGATTTTGCATGAACTGATGCAGGGTTCTGTTTCAGTGTTCCCAAATTACAAATTTCCTTGGAATCATCTGGTACATCCACTTTTGGAGAATTATAAGACCCAGATCTCTGTAAAGCAATAGGTTTACTTCCAGAGGCTTTTTGTGTGTGTGTGGAAGGAAAGAGAACATCATTAGATACATATCTGGATAAATAACTAGAACTAGAATTATAAATAAATAGGAAACAACCACATAATCTTAATCCGAATACTCCATATCAAAAAGTTCAGTGTATGCTTTCACATGAATTAAAATTTTGACACCTTAAATGGAAAAAGATATACTCTCATCAAATACAAAATCTGAGACAGAAAACAAAATTATAATTAAATTGTGAACAGAAAAAAATATATTTACCACATGAAAAGGTTTGCATGTTTCCATGCAAAATCAAAATTTTCAACCATCAGTTTGATATTCACTGATACAATAACTGCATTGTATCTACTAATTTGTTCATAATTACTATAAGGTGCACTTACTCTTTTGCAAGCCAAAACATTTCAAGATTCCATAATGCCAGATTTATTATGAAACTAATGATCAATAAAAGAACCTTTTAATATTCTATGATGAGGCTACACTATAGTATACAGATTCAAGCCAAACCATGTAAAATTGAAACACAAATGGATCAATTTATGCAGGTTTATGAAGCCAAAAACTTATACAAGATGGCAAAAACTTTTAAGTAAAGAAATCTAGAAGAAAATTAAGGAACTAAAATTATTAAGTAGGACAATACTTATGCAGACAAGGATGAGCTATATAGAATGCAGCAATGTAAAATGCAACTGACCAATGAGATTTACTTTTCTAGAACTACACTGTCCTATTAAGTTTTTTCTTTTCTCTTTTTTTCCTTTCAGGGGTTTCAAACCACAAAATTAGAATCACTTGGACCAACTGCATTTTCTAAAAGCTAAAGCTTAAAATATACAAGCAACAGACCAACTGCATTTTCTAAAAGCTAAAGCTGAAAATATACAAGCAACAGTTTTAGTACCAAAGTTGCTAAATTTGTATAAATCACTTGGGATATGTCAGCAAGCAAGCAAACAAAATGACCACAAAAAGGATAAAAGAGTACAGATGGAAACAATAAAAAGGGGAAAACAGTTTCAAACTACAACTTAGAGAAGGCAAGAGATCAACTTACAGTCTATGTATATATTCTTTATCACTTTTGACTCACTGTCAGAAGACAAACAGTGCAACCCTGAAGTAAGACCCAGACCAACCTCCACATTCTCCAGTTGGCTTCCCTCAAGACTAAAAATTTTCTCTGTGCCTTCTTTTTTCTTGGGTTCCATTCCACCACCATAAGGTTGAATAAGCTAATAGAAACATATATGACACTCATTAGTAGCTAACAGAGTAAGAGAAAGGTGAATAAGAACAACCATATGCGTCATACAAAGTAGTCATTCTTCACCTAAATAACATCTAAATAAATAAACCCACACTATCTACAATCACGTACAGTGCAAGAATGCTGGCATCACATTTAGAACAAAGTAATCAAACAAATCTATAGATAGAATTGTAGACCAACAATATAAATAATCTTTATTGGGTGAAATAAAGACATTACATTTTGCAAAATAAAGAAGAGGGAAGAGCTGATTTAAATGACAGAAGATCATACCGATATATCTGCCACCCAAATTCCGACAGAATTGCGGTAGAATGAACAACCCAAAAGTTTCCCATTATGAATGCAGAGGTCACCAAGTGCTGTCCATCCCATATCAACAGTATCATGACATATAACAGGCTCCCAAGAATAAACCTATAACATATGAACATATGATATCTTCATCCAGTTCCAGGTGCTGCATTATCATGTATTATCATTATTGTAATGATCTGTACCTTTAAACTATCCTCAAGTCCAGCAAACAGGGTTCTTCCATCAGGATGAAAAGCTATTGAGCGTACCCCAGTAGCCTAATAAAAAGTAGAAGAGCATCAATTAGAAGCCACATTTGTACTGTTTACATATTTTATGTACATCTTTGTGTGGCGTTGCATGTGAATTTGAAAAGTAAACGTGCAGGCTTACATTAGATGAAGAGCCAACCAATAAGAAAGTTTCTGCATTACACTATAATTTGTCTAGATTGTGCGCCATACTACACGGGGTAAATTTATTACAAGCGCAGTATATTATACACCAAGCCAACTAACAATATTGTGATGAGTAACTGGTAAGTGTAGAGACAATAGGTTCCATGAAAGTTAATAAGAGTCTAAACTAGCATAACGGTGTTGTAACTGAAAATCAAATGCAGAAAGGCATGTATGCAAGAACAAATTGACATAAATGATCATAATTTATTAGTTTTGGACTGGACAAACAATATTCAGAGAGTTTAAATACTTCGCATCTAGCCGATCCAATAAGTTCAAATGTTTCTAAATCCCAGAATTTCACTGTTCTGTCCAACGAACCTGCAAAATAACTTGGAAGATCAATCAGTTGAAAAGCCCTCTGCAATCATATGTTAGCATAAATCAAGTTTTCAGAAATCTAGAGAAGATAGAGGACACACAATGATAAAGCATATTGATAAATTTCTAAATCACATATCTAGAAGCACTGCAAGTGCTCATAGGAAACAATACTCACTAAAGAATCGTAGAAAAGATTTCCAACATATATGCTCAATGTTGATGTATCAAATTATCTTAGTTTCATGTGAAGGTTTAGGATTTCAAGGTCTATTGCTCATTAGATGTCAAACAATAAAGAGAGTGGCTGCAGCTGATGATCCATCACTGTAAAATATAATTATAGAAGAGGATAAAATTGAACTAATTGTAAAGTGAACAGAACAGAGTCGAGGACCACAAAAGAAAGAGAAGTCAACGAAGATCAAAATTCAGCAGAGCTGGTCAGTCTCTAAGCAGGTCAAAAAAGGAACTCGCTTAAAACATAGATCTGTAAAATTTCTAAATGATAAAGTTTAGAGTTCTTTAGTTTTCAGGTCCCATTTGAGTTAATCATGGAAGCTTTTATTGAAAGGTATATATGAGTTTCACTATTATGAGTTTGATGAAATAAAGAAGAAACAAATTACATGTCAAATTTAGACAAATCCACAAGGGCAGAGCATTAAAAATTCCTAATTAAGTCTGATTGACAAACGAACCTAGGGAAGATATGGTAAATTTAGGCATAAATCCAACTATGATATCCCATTGAATTAACAACATGACTGAAACCATGCGTCTTTAAGCTACTCACATACACAGTTGAACAATAACTTTTCAAGATTTTAGCTCTACTAGAACTATACTATAAAAGAAGAAAGTATATAGATACTGCACATTTCTACATGATTGAAGTCAGACTTCCAACTGCTCCAGAATTACTTTAATTGCTAACTCACCTGTAGCCATAAGAAACTCAAGTGGATGGAAATCGATGGACCTAATATGTCCTTCATGAAACTTGAAGTCATGCAAGAGCTTTCCAGCTGTCAGATCCCACACCTATATGTTGTCCAGGTAAATCATAATCTCATTGATAGAATAATTGTAAAAGTTCGCAACTATTTCAAACCACATCATACCTTTACAACATTATCAAACCCACCAGAAACTACCCAGCGGCCATCTGGAGTAAATTTTATAGTACTGATGCGCTGGCTATGACCCTTGTATGTATGAATGCATCCTTTTTTCCGGATATCCCAAATTCTGAGATTAGAGTCCATGGATCCAGATGCAAAAAATTCACCAAATGGGTGAAACTCAACAGCAGTGCAATTGGATCGGTGTCCAGTAAGAGTGCGAACCACTATACTTCAAGTACAATGGCAAAAACAAATCAGGAGCATGTTGAAGATTTAAAAAATCAGAATCCCACATTGCAGGCACCTATTTATAAAGCTTAGGGGTTTAGAATTATAAAATTTCTCCTAGCTTCCCTTATAACATCATGCACAATGTAAATTGGGTCGTTCATAATTCTAGAATCAAATAGTTGTCTAAATTTATGTCTAGCAAGATTCTTTTGGATACGTGTTCTGAGTCTTATTTCTCTAATGTACAATCCAAATCTCTCAAAATCCCCATATTTACATTTTACTGTATGCCATTAAACTTAAGTATCTAAGAAACGAACTTACTCTTTGCCTCTTCCAGATCCCAAAGCTTTATTGCACCAGCTGATGCTCCAGCAAGAACTAACACTTCAGCTGAATCAAAAGCCACAGATTCGACTGGACTACTATGACCATTGAGACTCTGCATTTAGCACCAATAAGACAGAATAATTAGATGATACACATGATAATTCTGCCAGCCGAAGAAAGTTCGATGTCATATGCCAGCAGAAGAAAGTTCCATGTCATAATAAAATCCACTATGCGATAAAATATTTCAGGCTTGTAAAGTCGCACGCTCCAGTCACATATATCAATGAAATCTTCACGGTCCATTACCAGTTAACAATTCTGCAAAAGCCATATCATAATGTAAAAGCTAAGAAAATAAAGACAATAGCTAAGCTGACCATCAAAGATGCTGGTTTGCCAATCGTCCATAAATTGACCTTGTGATCATCCCCTCCTGTAATGAAAAGGCGGCATGCCTTCTTTCCAATTTTTAAACAATTGACGCTGCCTGAATGGGCCACAAATTCCTCTAAAAAGTTTGCTCAGGAAAGCGTATTATAAAAAAAGAATAGACATCAATAACCAGCATATTCATCCACAGAAAAATACTGACCCAAATTGGAAATAAATAAATAGACAATAAATTGCATATCAGCTGGAAAGCCAAAACTCATAACTTTAGCTAGATATCCAAAGTTTTTAAAACGAAATACTTTATCCAGTAGAAAACAGAGTAAGCAAGAATCAAGACTAAGACCAAGTTTTGATTCCAGTATGTGGCAAACAAACAAAATGCAAAACCCAACATTTCAATTGTTGGCCATAATTTCCAATCACCACCTTCAGCTTCATAAAATTCAATTGCATTATTCAGATAGAAAAAGGACCATAAATATACAGCTTGCCCTCCTATCAAACGAGAAAACCAAAGATAGAAAAATAAACTCACAATTTTGAAGCTTTAAAGATACGGTTCCTACATATTTGAACAGAAGCTTAAGAACCGATAATATTAACTTCAATTTCGAAATAAAGACTAAAGTTCAAGTTTGAAAACATGAACGCAGATGCTGTCCCGGTCAACCAATTCTCTCTTAAGAAAAAAACATCAAACAAGAAAACAATAATTACAAGTAAAAAAAAAAAAAGGATACGTAGCTTGTATCCTTGCTTCGCCATTCTTGGTTCGGAAAAGTCAGTTCTGAAACAAAAATCGTTTCCACAGAAAAAGTAGGAAGCAGGACTCGGATTTACTTCAAGTTGCTGCGAAAACAACGATGCTGAAGAAGAGGAAGAAAAAGGCTGCAGCTACTTTGCGAGTTGAAATGGGACCGAAGCGGTAGGTAGGAATTGGATTAAACTTCTCTCTGAGAAGCAACTCGGCTCTGAACAGACAGAAATGTAATTAGATTCCACAGTGTGAGAAAGGGAAATCCATGGTATTGAACCGGATCGAATCGGTTGGGTCAACCTGAAAACTGATAACCCGATCCTTATCCAATTTGGATTTACTCCTAAACTGGTGAGAGAATGAATCGGTGTAACCCGGTCAACCCGAGTTCAATCCAGTATAACCCAGTGGGTTAACTGGGTTAATCGGGTTTTTTTTTTTGACAATTTTTTTTATTTTTTATTTTTTAGAGTGCTGAATTCAGAAATAAGATAATAAAAAAAAGTGAAATTAAAGTTAAAAAATGAAAAATTAGAGGTAGAGCATGTTAAGTCCAATTTAGATTTTCAGACAGCATTTAGTTCGGCCTTTCATCTGTGTCTCTCCTCTCTCGCTTTAACCTAATCAGCGTCTCTTTTCTAGCTTAGTCTCCGTCTCTTCTTCAGGCTCCAGCTCTATCTCCGTCTCTTCTCCAACTCTATTTCTATCTCTGCTATCTTCATCTTTTCTCCAACTTAGTTTCTGACTCTTCGTCTTTTTTCCAGCTCAATTTCCGTCTCTTTTCCAACTTTATCTCCATCTCTTCTCTAGACTTTTGAGATTGAAGAGTTGTAATTGTAATGATAGATATTTAAAATGTTGTATTTTATTACTATTAGACTTTTGAGTGATTAGATTTGATTGAATGTTTTTATAATTAATGTCTTTTTATTTAAATTGTATTATTTTAATCATGATCAGTTTGCCACCGATTTAACCCCCGATTCAACCCTAATTGAACCACTAACCCGTGACCCAGTGTTATAATCAATGACTGGTCCGGTTTTATATACTTTGGGGAAATCATGTAATAAAGAATGCAAGTGGCAAAATTTGGAACTTTCCTTAACTTATTTAATATTTACTTTTTATTAATATTAATTTCTTTACGCGGACGCGTTGCAATGGGAGAAGCACTTGAATAATTGAAATCATTGTGAGATTCTGGCCATAAGTGGCTGCCGCTTCACTTTCGGACAAAATTGCCCTTGTTTCTTGCAAAGCACAACATTACAGACTTACTTTGAGCGGTTGATAAGACTTCTGAGTTTTGAGATCGCGTTTGATTTTTAATTTTGTTGAAGCCGATGTAATATTTTGAGAGGTTAGATTGTGTCCCTCCATAGCCTCGACAAAATTATTATTAGCTTTTTGTCCGTAAAACTTAGAGCCACGCAAGAGACTAAGTTATGCTTGAAACTTAAGTCTCTTTTAAAAAAATTTATTAACAAGCCCAATTGGTATTCCTAGATGTAACATCCCAAATTTTAATTCTTGGTCGAAACAAATTAGTTACGATTAATTAGATAAAATTGAGTATTAATTAATTTAAGAATAGTTAAATATGCTAATGGTCCTAAAAGTATATTAAACATAAATAATAAACCAAATAATGGTCTTGGGTTAAAGTCTTACCATATCCGGACGTAATACTAAGAGAGAACTGTTTGCTTTGGAGTGAGTTCTTCTTTCAGCCTCTCTCTTCTATTTATCATGAAGGGGAGGCTATTGCAGAAAAAAAGATCCAATCGACAGTAATTTGTCTCATTATATATGGAATAAATTGATTGGAATAATCACATTTATCATTGAGGAATCATTTCTTGTTTTGGAATTTAAGAAAAAATAATTACTATTAATTTCATATTCTAGTCAACTCATTATTACTGGAATAATGTCGGATCAATTGATTGCTCCAACATTATGATCTGATTCCCATTAAGAGCGGATTTGTAATTCCAACATCTCCCACTTGCACTTGACGGGACTACCATCATGCGAAGCCTACTTATCTTACTTCATACTTGGTGCTCTATATAACATCATGAATTCTTGATTCTTGCACTAATACTAATTAAAGGGTAAATTAGTAATTTAATATGAGATTAGGATTTTGGATGGTGGAGCATTATTTTGACTCTTTAGGATATTATATAAACAGACATGAGTAGAAGAATAGCATTATGAAACAAAGCGTGTGAGCATGGTGAGGAATTCCCTCACTGTGCCATGCGCCACAACTAGAACTGGATGAGCTGTAGCGCATGGTGCAGAAACTTGGTAAATAAGAATGTGCCTTGCTTGTGGAAATAGGGGAAAAACAAAGAAAGAAGCACGAAAGGGAGAGGAGGAAGATGAGCTCTGCTAGGGCAATAGATTTTGGGAGTAAGAACGACATTTTTGACTTATTACTTATCAGGTAAGCCTTGTACTGCCTTAACTTCTAATTTTCACTAGTACAAAAGACAGTTATAATGACACATTTTTAACCACAGTTATAGAAGGAACTGTGGTTATGACATACTTAATGGAAATTTTACTAATTAAAGCTAGAAACTATATAATTATAACCACAGTTAAACAAAACAAATGTCGTTATAAGTATAAAAATGTAAGTAAAAAGTATTTCAAATTTAAGTTATATATTAATAATCTATTGAAATTAATGTTAATTCAGTGCATTTTCCTACACTTTATTTGATGAATTACATCAATTGTGAATATTTTGGGTTTAAATATAGAAAAATGAGCTTTAATCCAAATTAACCTAAAAAATAGAATTTATTGAGAATTTTACTTAGACACTTACCTTGATTTTAAACTTTGAAAGATCTCATAGCTGTATCTACTGTTTCAGATGACTTATTTTAGGTATTTTTAAAGACAGATAGAGAAATGATGTTTGAAGATGCATATGGAAACATAACAGCAAAAAATTTGAAGCTAACAGTAAAGAGTAGAGGCTCTATGTCATGCACAGAGACAAAGTTCCTAGACATGCAAAAGTGCCACAACGCACTACCAACATGCTGCAACACATGGCCTAAATTTTATTATGCATTTTGAGCTATAAAATGGAAAAATTAGGGTAGATAAGCCATAAACACGCCTCCAGACTGGGAGCTACAATTTTTAGAGATTCTTTGAGGCTTGCTCTACTAGGGTTTAGGGTTCTTTGAAGGAAATTTGGCCAAGGATTAAAGATTTGAAGAGATTCAAGTGAATTTCCTTTGGTTTTTCTTCTTCTTTTCCCTTTTCTCTCTTTGTTTCTGATATGAATGATGTATATTGTGATATTTATGGCTCTTTTCTAAACATGAGTAGCTAGTTCTCTTGATTTAGGATTATTTCAAACTTTGTATGGATTAAGACTTGAATATTCCTCTCTTTTGGTATTTAATTATATATATGTGTTTATTTTATCCTATGCTTAATGTTTTTAAGTACTTGATCACCATTTAGATTATTTTGTTCTCTTGAGTTATGCTTGAGAGAGCTAATTTAAGTGTAGAACTTGAATAAAATAATGTTGGACTTGAAATTTACAAAGATAAATGGATGGTTTTGTTGGTAAAATAGAGATATTTTATTAATCCTTCATGGTCATATTATGATTGGAGCTTAAAAATTATTTTCACTAATTATTTTTAAGAGATTGTGAAATTTTAGTATTTGCAAATATACTTTGACTTGAGAAAGCTTTTTCAAGTAAATTAGAATTTTAGACTAACACTTAGTTTTATTAAAAATCTATTTGAAAGGAATTAATTTAAGTTTTATGAAATATAAAGAGGAGAGATAATCCTAGATTCTCACCTCTAAAAGTCAAGGTTTCAACAAGTTTTAATTGCTTTGAAACAATTTTAATCCAATTTTCATTACTTTCACACAGACATACTCTTGATTTTGCTCAACCTATCTTAAAGCTTAATAGTGAATTTTAACCCTCATTTACCTAAATTCTTGTGGGAATGATAACTCTCAAATATTCTGCACTTGTGACGACTCGTATGCTTGTGGTAATGCATGACAATGAACAAGTTCTTGGCGCCGTTGCTAGGGATAGCAGCAATTGTTTTGTGTTGGTTAATTTTTTCTATTGTTTTAGTAGGTTACACTTGAGCTTTTAGTTTAACATTTTTTTCATAGGTATAGGTAGTTTACTTAGTTATTACAGATTTTATAGTTTTAATTTTTTTATTGATAAGTTTGATACTTGTTCCTTTAGTTTCACCTTGTAGATGATAGTACACATTTGTTACCCACTTTTATTTATCAATTAGGATCATTTTATTAATGATTTATCACCTTCAAGTGCACACATTGCATTAGATTTGGAACTTTGCCTAAGTTTCTAGGTTCAGTGCACTAGGGGCATTTTGGTCCAAAAAAATGAACTTTTGAGAAAATGTACAAAAAAAATTGACAAAGTGCATTTTATGTCCAGTTGATGAATGGTGAAATTATATTTTTAAAATTCATTTTAGTTTGGGAGTAATTAAATAAAAAATTCAACACTTTCTTAAGTGTCTTAGTTTGTCCTAGTTTTTGGTTTGCCTTTGTGTGGAAATTTTTATATTATTTTATGCAGCCTGAAACTTGGTTAATTTAATAAATTCTCCCTTCTAATTATGAATTTAATTCTGGACATGAATTAGATTTTATTATATCAGATGCTATTTAATTGAATTATGTGATTTATGTGACATAGGTGGCATGTGACTTGTGCATCAATTGGGCAATTGAGGTCAACACTCCTTGAGGTCAATGGCTGACGGTTTGCACATGAATTATGATTATTTTGAGGGGTTAAATCAGCTAAAATGATGTGGATGACACATGGGAAATTAGGCACACATTGGAATCATCTACAAACTAATAGGAAGTTGCCACCTTGCAAGTGTGACAAGGCTCCCATTTACATTTTAATTTCTTTTTCCTTATTTTAATTAAGCTTCAGCTGATGGGAGACACCAAGGAGCTTGCTATTTTAAGCTCCAAATGGGATCCAACACATATCTCATTCATCTTCCACATTCTCTCTCTCTTGTTCATAATGTTCTTCATTTTCTCTCTTTTGTTCTTCATTTTCCAGCACCCTAACCTCCATTTTCAGCCACCAAACCTCCATAAAACTCATACCATTCTTCTCCTCTCTTCATTTTCGTTCCATCCCTTCCATTTTCACAAAGATT